GGGACGACAGAGGATGAGATGGTTGGACAGTGTTCTCGAAGCTACAAACATGAGTTTGACCAAACTGCAGTGGAAGACAGGAGTACCTGGCATGCTCTGGTCCAGGGGGTCACGAAGAGTCGGACACGACTAAACAACTAAACAACAACAAAGTCATTTCCCAGCAACTGTATTAAAGCACCTGCTCCACAAGATTTCTGTAGTTGTCCCTCCTCCCTTTTGTGAGCTTGTCTTTGTGAGTTAATGGTCATCATGACCGTTTGTGGGAGCCAGTGATGGGATCAGGGGAGGGATCTGGCATGCCAAGATGCCTCCGCCTCTCTTAATAGAAGGTTGGCATTCAGGATAGGCAGGCAAACATGGCATGGGGTGTGAATCGACAAGCCCTCTGCACCTCTGAAGTTGGGTTCATGCAGAGTTGAAGGAAAGGAGCCACTCGGCAAGCAGATGCCGCCCCGATCCGCTGATAGCGACAGACTTCTGAGTAACAGGAGAGGCTAGATTACATTACACCGAGAAGCACAGAGGGATAGGAAACGGTGACACAGTTTGCGTGTGCGTGCACACAAACACAACTGGCTTGCCAGCAACCCAGAAGGGGGGGGAAGTATTCCGAAAGAAAATACATATTGCAGCCAATATTCCAGAGCTCCTTGGCTGCCCTCCAGCTATGCAGAACATTTGATTTCATTTACAAGGCAGTTTCACTGGGGACCTGGTCACTTGGTTGTGCCGCAGATGGCACCCAGGTGGATCTAGAGAGGAGAAGATCCCCGAGAGAGGCGGCTGGAAAGATTCACGTATTGTGGGAATCTGCTTGCGTGAAACGGCTTTCTGCATAGCCTGGGCTATTTCAGCCACATGGCCGCGACTCCTGGTCTCGTTTTGTAGCGGAGGGAAGGCAGTGATGTGCCTGAGAGTGGTCAAACTATGGGAAGCTTCACACAAATAGCTTCTCACGAGGTACAGCACCCAAGGGGTTTAATTGTTCCAGCAGCAATGAGGCATTCCACTCGTGTGCCATTCAGCCAAAGGAAGAATCTGTGAAATGGGCTGATGGTTGTGGCCTTGCTCATTCCTGAGGTTGTTCTTTCCACTGAACCCAGATATATATTTCAGTTACAGAGTCCTTCCGACTTTTGGAAGAAATCTGAAGGCAGCCCTGTATCAGGACGTTTTTAGTGTGTGATGTTTTACTGGGGTTTTATAATTTGCTGGAAGCCTCCTAGAGTGGCTGGAGCAACCCAGTCAGGTGGGTGGCACAACAACAGCAGCAGCAACAACAGCAACAGCAACAACAACAGCAACAACAACAACAATTGCAGCCTGCCACTGAAATCTCTGTCTTTCCCCCCTTGCAATCTGAGGTTAGGGAAGAGAATGTCATAGTCTGGATGTGTGGAGGCTATTTCTCTTTGTGAGCAAAGAGAATTTTAGTAGCTGTGTCCAATAATGCTGGGAACTTGTTCTGCAGCTGTTTCTCCACACACACTTCTATATTATCGTGCAATTATAGACTCTAACCTAAAAAAAAAGAATTAGTTTTATAGCATTGCTTCTTGTATTCATTTTTTTGGCTTGAGTTTTGCTGTTACTTTATAATCCACACCAAGCCTTCAGAATAGGAGGAAATAAAGTTCTAAATACTCTTGACTATGTCACCGGGCAAACTCACTTCTGTTATGTTAGCATTTGCTGATCTTTGGGGCTTGGCAGGAACTCCCAACTTTTTTTTCTTTCACTCTCAGTTGTTTCCAAAAGGTTGACAAAACAGGAGCCTGCCCCAAAATTAAAATGCCACCAATGGGGGGGGGAGCAGTTAATCATGGGTAGGCAAACTAAGGCCAGGGGGTCGGATCCGGCCTAATCGCCTTCTCAATCCGGCCCACCGACAGTCTGGGAATCAGCGTGTTTTTACTTGAGTAGAATGTATCCTTTTATTTAAAATGCATCTCTGGGTTATTTTGGGGCATAGGAATTCGTTTATGTTTTTCTCTCCAAAATATAGTCTGGCCCCCCACAAGGTCTGAGGGACAGTGGACCAGCCCCCTGCTCAAAAGGTTTGCTGACCCCTGATCTAACTCCACAGCACCCAAACACACGCAGACCCTCTGAGTGCTCCTATTTTCCAGGGACATCCCTGATTTAGAAAAGCCATCCTGGTTTCTGATTCGATCCCAGAATGTCCCACTTTTCCTTAGGACATCCCTTTTTTCATTGGAGAAATGTTGGAGGGTATGGAGTTAGCCAGCTCCCTGTCTGAAGGCAATCCTGTACAGGGAAGTTTTTTTTTTAATGTTTAATATTTTATTATGTTTCTATATATGTTGGAAGCTGCCCAGAGTGGCTGGGGCAACCCAGTAAAATGTGTGGGGTATAAATAGTAAAATTATCATTATGGAATGGGACGTCCCTATTTTCTTTGGAGAAATGTTGGAGGGTATGCACACTCTGAGGTTGGGGTGGTCTCTCTTGGCATCATGACTGACCGGTCCATGCAGTGGGGTTCTGCTGCCCTCTGGAGGCTATGAGGATTATCAGAAGATCATCCCAAAGCAGTGAGAGATTTTACTTGGGCTTCATGATCACTGCAGATGGTGACAGCAGTCACGAAATTAAAAGACGCCTGCTTCTTGGGAGAAAGGCGATGACAAACCTAGACAGCATCTTAAAAAGCAGAGACATCACCTTACCAACAAAGGTCCGTATAGTTAAAGCCATGGTTTTCCCAGTAGCGATGTATGGAAGTGAGAGCTGGACCATAAAGAAGGCTGATCACTGAAGAATTGATGCTTTTGAATTATGGTGCTGGAGGAGACTCTTGAGAGTCCCATGGACTGCAGGAAGATCAAACCTCTCCATTCTGAAAGAACTCAGCCCTGAGTGCTCACTGGAAGGACAGATCATGAAGCTGAGGCTCCAAGACTTTGGCCACCTCATGAGAAGAGAAGACTCCCTGGAAAAGACCCTGGTGTTGGGAAAGACGGAGGGCACAAGGAGAAGGGGACAACAGAGGACGAGATGGTTGGACAATGTTCTCGAAGCTACCAGCATGAGTCTAACCAAACTGCAGGAGGCAGTGGAAGACAGGAGTGCCTGGCGTGCTCTGGTCCAGGGGGTCACGAAGAGGTGGACACGACTAAACGACTAAACAACAACAACTCAGTCTAAAGCAGCTTTTGCCAACCTGGAGGTCTGCAGATCTTTTGGAAAACAACAGCCGTTGGTCCCAGCCAGCCCAGCCACGAACCTGCAGCTGGCCCTGGAGGGGAGCCAGTCATGGCTGCAGAAGTGAGCTGGTTGTTTTGGCCACTGTTTTCTTCTCTGTTTCACATCCTCATTGCTGTCACTTGATTCATCTTGTGTTGGGAGTGGTTCAGCTGGATACTTCCAAGCGGAGTGGAGCGATCAAATGCCCTTGGTTGAGACAGTAATGGCAGAAGAAGAACCAAAAGGGAGAAATAGGTCCTGGATGACCAAGAACTGTCCTTTTTCTCCAGCTCCCCTTATCTCCGTCTCCGTCTTTCTCAGGCTCCAGCAGAGCTGATCAGACACAAGCACAGCCGTGTGTGTGTGTGTGTGTGTGTGTTTGTGTGTGTCAAGTGACAGAGGAGAGCAGTTCTTGGTGGAAAAACCACTGCCCTAACCCATCTGCAGCTTGCAGTTCCAGGTACAGATTTTGGACCAAATTTGCTCAGGACACCTACAATTCAGTCCCACACTGATCGGCTGAAAAATGGCAATTAGTGCATTGTAGCACCTTGAAGGCCAGACTAGTGAAGCTTTGCTCGATACATGAAATTTGTGTGCATGTGTAAAAGTAAAAGCCCTACTGGACAAGTCCACCATCCTGTTTCTGGCCAGTCAGAGCCTTCTATAGATATGTAGAACATAAAGTCAGGAACCATCCACCTTTGGCATCTTGCTCAAATATAGAGGTATAGCTATCACAACCAATAGCCATTAGCAGACTGATTCCCCCACAAATTTGTCAAATTCCACTTTAAAGCCATCTAGCCTGGCGCTTATGACAACATTAATAATAATGATAGTAACAGTTTATTTATTTTTTACAAATTTAATAAATGTGTTCAGTGTGTTTTTATACAATTCATAAATTGTTGTTGTTTAGTGGTTTAGTCGTGTCCGCCTCTTCGTGACCCCCTGGACCAGAGCACGCCAGGCACTCCTGTCTTCCACTGCCTCCCGCAGTTTGGTCCAACTCATGTTCATAGCTTCGAGAACACTGTCCCACCATCTCGTCCTCTGTCGTCCCCTTCTCCTTGTGCCCTCCATCTTTCCCAGCATCAGGGTCTTTTCCAGGGAGTCTTCTCTTCTCATGAGGTGGCCAAGTATTGGAGCCTCAGCTTCAGGATCTGTCTTTCCAGTGAGCCCTCAGGGCTGATTTCCTTTTGAATGGAGAGGTTTTATCTTCTTGCAGTCCATGGGACTCTCAAGAGTCTCCTCCAGCAGCATAATTCAAAAGCACCAATTCTTTGGCTGTCAGCTCTCACTTCCATACATCACTACAGTGGTACCTCGGGTTAAGTACTTAATTCGTTCCGGTGGTCCGTTCTTAGCCTGAAACTGTTCTTAACCTGAAGCACCACTTTAGCTAACGGGGCCTCCAGCTGCCGCCGTTGCTGCTGCTGCGCCGCCAGAGCACAATTTCTGTTCTCATCCTGAAGCAAAATTCTTAACCCGAGGTACTATTTCTGGGTTAGCAGAGTCTGTAACCTGAAGCGTCTGTAACCTGAAGCGTATGTAACCCGAGGTACCACTGTACTGGGAAAACCATAGATTGAACTATATGGGCCTTTGTCGGCAAGGTGATGTCTCTGCTTTTTAAGCTGCTGTCTAGGTTTGTCATTGCTTTCCTCCCAATTCATAAATACTAATTGCAATAACAACAATAATAACTGAAAATAAACCCGAGGATAAACGGAAGACAGGAGGCGAGAGAGGGGCCTCCCTCCGCCTCCAGCATCCTTCCCTTCCCCTCCCCCGAAAGCGGGATGCGGGCTCGGGCGCCTGCTTCCCTTAGCAACGGGGAGGCCCTGCGCCGTATCCAAGGGGCGGGGCCTCCGCCCGCCGCCCGCGCAGGCGCCGCGACGCACTTCCGGCTCCTTAAGGGAACGTGTCCCTGGGCGCCGCCGAGGCCGCCTCCGCCGGGCCGGAAGTGCGGACTGCGTTGGGGACTGGAGACGATGGAGCAGGCCGAGGCGCGCAACGGGTGCGAGGCCGGCGACGCCTCGGCGGCCGGGGCGGCCGGGGCTCGGCCTCCCGCCACCCCGGAGGGCATGGCGCTGGCCTACGGCAGCCTGGTGGTCATGGCCCTGCTGCCCATCTTCTTCGGGGCGCTGCGCTCCGTCTCCTGCGCGAAGGGGAAGGTGAGGCGGGGGGGGGGCGGCCAGGGGCCGGCGGAACTCCACGAGACATGAGGGGGGCTTGTGGAGCAGGATGAACCCGGGGGGGGGGAGAGACGCAGCTCTCGGGGGGTAGAAGGTATCTGCCTGGCATGCAAAACGGGCCCCCGGCTCAGGGCACCCCGAACACGGTATTTCCAGGTAGGGCTGCGAAGGATCCCCCGCCTGCAGTTCCATCCAGCGGCTGCCAGTCAGTGCAGGCCCTACTGGGCCAGGTGGACCTAATGGTTTGACTTTTTCCTCTCTGGCAGTCACTCGTAATTATTATTATTATTTATTATTATTATTATTATTATTATTATTATTATTATTATTATTAATACCCCACACATCTGGCGGGGCTTCCCAAGCCACTCTGGGCAACTTCCAACAAAAATAAAATACAGTAATCCATCAAACATTAAAAGCTTCCCTAAAGAGGGCTGCCTTCAGATGTCTTCTAAAAGTCTGGCAGTTGTTGTTCTTTGACATCTGGTGGGAGTAAGAATGTAGCCGAGTAAGATTTGTCTTCCATAAACACGGTTTTAACAATGAGTCCGTAAGTGACTGTGGAGGCCAATTCTGGATCCACACGTCCTTCCACAGTGGGGACATTGGTTTCCGGGCTGGAGTTGATCACAGTGTGGATTTGCCAAGCGTGCCTTCCTCTTAGCATGTTTCTCCCTTGCGTCCTGAGTTTGAGTGTCTTCAAAGCCCACGACACCTTTGGTAAAGGGTTGACTGGGGTAAATGGTTTACTAGCTTCCCATAGAATCATAGGGCTGGAAGGGATCCCACAAGACCATCCAACCCAACCCTCTGCAGTGCAGGAATGGCTGCTGAAGAACCCCTGCCAGGTGGACGTCCAACTTCTGCTTAAATGCCTCAGGTGGAAGAGAGTCCACCCCCTTCAGAGGGAGCCCGCTTCGCTATCAAAGCAGGTTCCGTGTTTCTTGTGAAGGAGGTTGGGGCCGTTGGCCGTGGTTAGCTATGGTGGTTAGGCAGAGCCTTTGTGCACAGAGGCAGTCTATCCCTGAATAGCAGCACATGGTGAGAGGGAGCAGAGGGACATTACGTTCATGGGGTTCTTGTGTTCTTGGACTCCGTGAAGGAGGGTCTCCACCCCTATCATTCTGCCAGGACACTGAGATCCAGCACCGAGGGCCTTCTGGTGGTTCCCTCACTGTGAGTAGCCAAGTTACAGGGAACCAGGCAGAGGGCCTTTTCGGTAGTGGCACCCGCCCTCTGGAATGCCCTCCCATCAGATGTCAAAGAGAAAAACAACTATCTAGCATTTAGAAGACATCTGAAGGCAGCCCTGTTCAGGGAAGTTTTTAATGACTGATGTTTTAATGTATTTTTAATCTTTTGTTGGAAGCCACCCAGACTGGCTGGGGAAAACCAGCCAGATGGGTGGGGTATTAATAATAATAATAATCCCTGACACCCCCTCCAGTCTTTCGGCTTGTAGCAGGCGTCTTTGCTTCCTCCCAGTACCTGAATAGCCCAACTATAGTTCTGTGATTCTGTGTGCGTGCCGATGCCTGTGTTAGAAAGCAGGGCCCTCTTTTCATACATGTAGTGTGGTGATGGCATGTTCTCCCCACATGCTGCAATTAGGTGCCCTGTCTAATGTTTTTCTTTTTACTTCTGGCCATGTGCAGAGCATAGAATCATAGACTTGTTGAATAGGAAGGGAACCTGAAGGCCATCTAGTCCAACTCCCTGCAATGCAGGAATCTCAGCCAAAGCAGCCTGCCTCTTGCACCCTTCCCTTGCTGCCTCCTGAGTTTTGCATTAGGCCATTGATCCCATCTAGCTTTGCATTGTCTACCCCAGCAGTTCTGTCTCCTTTCCTTGGTATCTCCTGGGGCTGTGTGTGTTTGTGTGTGTGTGAAAAGCATGCACTCCAGCAAGTGTTTCTTCCCTTCCAAGTTGAAAAAGGATTCACTTTGCTACATGCAGTAGCGCTGGCCTATTTAGCACAGGACTTTTTGTCCCTTTCCTCTTGAGTGTGCACCTTGGGGAGAACTTGGGACGGAAGGAAGGAGGCCAACTGACGTGTTAGCAGGCAACAGGGCCAAAGTGGAGAGCATGCCCCTCCTCCTTAGATGCTTGAGTGCTTCCTTGGGCAGGCAGTTGTGGCTAGCTGTGTGCTGACGAGCTGCTTCTGTAGAGAATTCATGCTTTGCATATGCTACATTAGCCCCTTTCTGTACGTTTCCCTTTATGAAATTGTGAATGTTGTGTAGGCTGCAGATAAGAAAGAAAAATACATAATCTTGGATTCGTGCACTGAGGCTGGCAGGAATCAGTTTTTTTAAAAAAGAAATACTTCACCTGATACATAATTAACATCTGTTGTTTTAGTGCTGGAAGCTGTGGGGAGGGCACTGGCATAAATAAAGTCATGGAATCGGTTGGTGGATCCAGCCCAAGATGGTCAGACCTGTTAATTTCTTTAGGGGTGGTATAATTCAGCCTTGCAAACATACTCACAGAAGTTATGAGCCTGGAAACAAAAGGGGAACCTGTTCTCTTCCAACTTCCTTCAGTTTCCGTTTCTGAATTTTGGAAGGGATGCCGACTGTCCACAGACTATTTCAGGTCTGATATAACAACAGGTTCCCCCAGCCACTCTGAGGAGCAGGTGGATTGAGCCCCCATTGTCGTATTAAAAAGTGCCAAAATAATTGCAGGCTGATACCTCAACTGGCCATGTAGTGCTGCATCGAAAGGTACCGCATTTTTTGCTGTTTAAGACGCACCCAGACCATAAGACTCACCTAGTTTTTGGAGGAAAACAAGAAAAAAAATAATCTGAATCTCAGAAGCCAGAACAGCAAGAGGGATTGCTGCGCAGTGAAAGCAGCAATCCCTCTTGCTGTTCTGGCTTCTGGGATAGCTGCGCAGCCTGCATTCGCTCCATAAGACACACACACATTTCCCCTTAGTTTTTAGGAGGGGAAAAGTGAGTCTTACAGAGCAAAAAATACGGTATTTGTCACAAAAATGTCTTCAGAACAAGAAGCTGAAAAACAATGAAAAAGGTGTTTGTGTGAGTGTATCAGAGCAAATTTCCATATGACGCATTCCAATAGGAAACTAATTTGCCTCTGTGTGTCTGGCAACCCCATTGCTCAAGTTTCCTGAGGGCTGTAAAAGCAGGTGTGGTTAAGTGGATGCAATATCTGCCCTACATTGCAGTTATTCTGCTTCCAGTGGGAAATAGGGAAGAGCACATTGGTCACTGTCCAGGCTGATGGGCTATCTTGTAACACTAGAACTCGGGGACATCCAGTGAAGCTAAATCTCCGAAGATTCAAGACAGGTACAGGAATGTCCTCCTTCATGCAATGCATAGGTAAACAATGGAAATAGCTCCCACAGGAGGCAATGATGGCTACCAATTAAATGGCTTTTTAAAAAGGATTGGATAAATTCTTGGTGGAGGAGAGGGCTATCAGAGTGCTTCTGAATATCAGCTGCTAGAAACCGCAGAAGGGGTGAGGGCTCTTGTGCTTGAATCCTGCGTGCTAGTTTCCCAAAGGCATCTAAGGGAATAATAGGATGCTGGACTAGATGGGCCATTGGCCTGTTCCAGCAGGTTCTTCTTGTACAGTCACACCTCGGGTTAATGTACGTTTCCGAGCACAGTTCAAAGTGTTGGTGCTGACCTTTAAAGCCCTAAACGGCCTCGGTCCAGTATACCTGAAGGAGCGTCTAAACCCTCCTTGGTTCAGCCCGGACACTGAGGTCCAGCGCTAAGGGCCTTCTGGTGGTTCCCTCACTGCGAGAAGCCAAGTTACAGGGAACCAGGCAGAGGGCCTTCTCGGTAGTGGCACCCGCCTTGTGGAACGCCCTCCCACCAGATGTCAAAGAGAAGAACAACTACCAGACTTTTAGAATACATCTGAAGGCAGCCCTGTTTAGGGAAGCTTTTAATGTTTGATGTATTATGGTATTTTAATATTTTGTTGGAAGCCGCCCAGAGTGGCTGGGGAAACCCAGCCAGATGGGCGGGGTATAAATAAATTATTATTATTATTATTATTATTATTATTATTATTATTATTATTATTAAAGTAGCTTCAGGTTGAGCATTTTCAGGTTTCATTCCGCGGCGACCCGGAAGTAATAGAACGGGTTACTTCCGGGTTTTGTCACTCGCGCATGCGCAGACGCTCAAAATGACGTCATGTGCAGAAGTGGTGAATCACAATGCGCAGACGCGGGTTGCGCTCTGCTCAGGATGCAAACGGGGCTCCGGTACCACTGTATTCTTAATATCTTTGCTTCTAGAGTTCTGAATAAGGTATCCTTTCCGGCCTAAGGGGCTAATATTTGACCAACTTTTCCTCTAGAATGCTTCGGATATGCCGGAGACCATTACCAGCCGAGATGCTGCCCGCTTTCCTATTGTTGCCAGCTGCACCCTCTTAGGCCTCTATCTCTTCTTCAAAGTAAGTAAAACCACTGGGGATCTTATTGCAGTCTTCTGCTGGCTGACAGCTAATCCAATAACTCTCCCTTTTGTGGGTGCAGAGGAAGCAGAATCGCTACTGGGAAGGGGGAACTGGCAGAAACCTTCCTGTCCAAAGTGTTCACGATAGTGTGGTGTCTCCATCGGGCCTCTGGGAGTTGTGGGGTGCTGAGCATTTTGCAGGTGGATGCTGTCCGATGCTGGTAGAAGGAGGTCTTTCATTTCCTGGATCTGCCAGCTCAGTGTTTCCAGCTTTCGAAAAGGCTGGGTATGCCTCTCCCATAATAAGAGGGTCTACTTGTACAAACAGTGTAATATCCTGGGGGGACAATTCCAGCTTTTAGCTATTTTATGCAGCATTTCTATTCAGGATTTCCCAAAACTATGTACTTGGTAAAGTGGATGAAACACAAAATCACAGAATTAAAAGCAGTGTAATAGAACGATAAAGGCAGCACCATTGAAATATCAACGGAGACAACAGGATAATGTTTTAAAAGAACTGAAATATCTAAAAGTGGCAGATTAGACAAAATTAATAAGAAGCAGCAGCTTTATTTAGCCGAAATAAATAAAAAATCCATCCATTGTCTAAAGGCAAAGATGGTGCCCGGTGCATCCCTGCTTGGCAGTGTGTGTGTGTGTGTGTGTGTGTTAATCCAGGCTCCATAATCCAGGCTCCACAACCACCAAGATGGCTCCCTTCCTCATGCTCTGGCATAGGCAAACTCTAGCCCTCCAGATGTTTCGAGACTACACTTCCCATCATCCCTGACCACTGGTCCTGTTAGCTAGGGATGATGGGAGTTGTAGCCCCAAAAACATCTGGAGGGCCGAGTTTGCCTATGCCTCCTCATGCTCATCAGCTTCACCACCCACAGGATGGGACAGAGCAGGGCCTCCAGTACTAGCTGGAAAGGCTAGAGAGTGGAGCTGATCTGATCTGCTGCATTGCCTGTTTCCCTTCCCCCTCGCACAGTGGTAGGTCGTCTGCTTTGCACGCAGCAGGTTCCAAGCTGCACTCTGAAAAGTTTAGGTGAAGTGGGAAGATAGATCCATTTAGCTCCAGTAAAAGTCCAGAGTGGATTGCAGCATCAAATGAATTTTGCAGTGTGTGCCAGGTCTGAGGAGACTTCCCCAGTGTTGTTCTCTTGACTGGCATCCAGGATACCTCGGAGCAAGGCGAGGCCTAGCATGGTTCCCCGTGCCGGTCCAGATTGCCTCCTCTGATCTGGTTGCATGCAGAGTGGGTTCTGTTCTACTTACTTGTTTGGGACATTGGAAACCCCTGGGTGTGGAAGGTGTGCAGAAATGGACATGCTTCCATTCCCACCAGAAGTCTGGATTCTGGTTGGTGCTGAATTATTCCCCGTCCCCGATCTCTGGTAGTAGGAAGGCTGATCACCTCTGCTAGAGATCCTGGAGATGCCAGGGGTGAGATGGAGCTGTAGAAGGCACCTTCATGTGACCACTTGCCTAAGCCATTTCAAGTGCAAATGGGCGGTGGGATATATAGTTTCATTTCATTCCAACTGTTTGCATACTGCTTAAGAGGGAGAAAGGTTGTTTTCTGCTGCTCCAGAGAAGCGGACACGGAGCAATGGATCCAAACTACAAGAAAGAAGATTCCACCTAAACATTAGGAAGAACTTCCTGACAGTACGAGCTGTTCGACAGTGGAATTTGCTGCCAAGGAGTGTGGTGGAGTCTCCTTCTTTGGAGGTCTTTAAGCAGAGGCTTGACAACCATATGTCAGGAGTGCTCTGATGGTGTTTCCTGCTTGGCAGGGGGTTGGACTCGATGGCCCTTGCGGTCTCTTCCAACTCTATGATTCTATGAATCACCAGAATTTCTATCGGGTATACAGTTGGATTACAGGAAACATACAGTGGATAAAAGAAATTGAAATTGATCCTGAAGTCATAAAATGCCTGCTGAAATGGAAAGGTCATTGTCATAGACATGATGGATTGGCCTCGGAGATTGCTAACTTCCTGGATTCCTGCTGCATTTCTGCCAGACGAAGCCAGCCTTGGGCAACTGGCAATCACAGCCTGTACCGGCAGGGAAGGAAATGGAATAATTCTAACTGGCAATTGGTGTTTCCAGGGTGACTGTTTGTTCATCGCACAGGATTTGTACCTTAGAGATACGCAGATAAGCTGTGTTGGAGGTCAGGAGAATGGAGGCCTTTGTGAGGAACAACTGCAAAAGTGGTCAAGGTGACCAAAGAACAGTTGGTTACTGGTTCTAACTTTAGAAAGCTTTCATTGTAGCTATCACAGAGTTTTTCCAGTCAAGAACTTCTTCCCAACCAGCACGGAATTAACCTTTAGAGGCAGCGCTATTAGAAAAGTCATGAAAAAGAACACACACACTTCTCCTAGGGGAGAAGAAAACCATCTGATCTGGGCAATGAGACTGGGCAGAGATGATGCACCACCATATTTATGTCAGACCCCTGGTCTGGCATAAGACAGCCTTCTCTACATCTGGTGCCCTCCAGATGTTTCTGACTACAACTCCCATCAGCCCCAGTCAGCGCATACTGATGGGAGTTGAAGTCCTAAACATCTGGAGAGCTGCTCACATCTGTCAGAAATTAAAAGAAAGCAAAATTACAGCCTTGTGGCTTAGATGTGAAAGTTTAAAAGCAGTAATTATGCTTCCGGGTTGTTCTTCCTCTGTTTTGACACGTTGCATAGTTAGAGAGCAGGTTGTTTAACCTGACTGGTTTTTCTTGTCTTCTAGATATTCTCTCAAGAATACATCAACCTGTTGCTCTCCATGTATTTCTTTGTCCTGGGGATCCTTGCCCTCTCCCACACCATCAGGTAAAAGAAGGAGAACAGCGGGTGGCTTGAATACTGTGTGTTGCGATTCCATTTAAAAGAAAAAGAAATCTGAACCCTGCTGGTTGCAGCAAAGCAGCCTAAACTTAGCTGGGATTTTTGTTTAAAGCAAAATTAGAGGGCCTGAGCTGAGGGTGCTGGTGGCTCCTGGGCAATACGGCTTCATCTAGTAGAGTTATCCCTCACTCCTCTCAGCTCTTCCTTGCCATTACAGGGTTCTTCCTTCTCTCCACACGCCTCAATAAATTCCCCTTCATTTCTCGCTCTAGAACAAACAAAGCCAGAGATCTCTTCAGAAATTGCTTTTGGGACATTGGGGCGTTCCCAGTGGACACTGTTAGCTAATACTATTCCAGAGTTGGCTGCTTCCAAAACTGCTCTTCCATCCCTCAGCTATATAATAAGTTTTCCTCTGTTTGAACCAACTTACATTTCAGGATGAGGATGAGAAGGGATGAGATCAGAGATTTGTTAGCAGAGCTGGAGGTTGGGAGCATGTCTCTGACTCTGCAGCTCAGGGTTTTTCAGACTGAGGGCTGCATTTCCACATGCCAGCGGCGGGTGGGACAGAAAGCAAATGTGGGTGGAACAATTAATGCAGAAGCCTAGTTTCTACTGCCTCTCCGTCCTCCATCCCAGCTGGCAAGGGCCATTATCAGAGTTGAAGGGTGCATTCCAGGCAGGGAAAAGCCATGCAAGCAAAACTAGGAAGTGCTTTTCAAGTGTCTCCTGGGAATGCCCTTTTCAGGGTGTTCTCCTTCCCTCTGACATTGGAGACAGGAACATAACACACCTGGCCAATGAACTTCAGCAGTCTGCAGTGCCATTCACTGGGTGAAGAGGCAAATCAAAATGTTTCCTTGGCAAAGGGATCCTCTTAAATCCTTGGCTTTGTATCTTTGTTGAAACGGCCACTGTTCTGCAAAAGCACCACACCCAATAAGCCGGATGATATTGGCATCTATAATGGCATAGCTCAGTTTTCCTAAAATCTTTGTCAAATTGTACCTTGAAAAACCCACTCATACCTGCTCTTTGAACACTACTTTTAATGAGCTGCTGCTGGTCAATTCCAGGGTCCCTGTATCTCAGTACAAAAAAACACACACAAAAATCTTAGCTGCCTTTGGGGGCAATAAGGCCCCACTCATACCTGCCCCCCTCCCTTCCCACCAGGCCCCATCAGGATTCAAATGAAAGATGCACAGTGCAGCTGATAAATTGGCTGTTTCTTACCAAATTCAAAATGAAACTGTCTGGGTCAGCTTAATATTGAGCCTCCCATTTTAGCTGGTTCTTAGCGTGGGGCTGGTGATGATGCTGGGAACTCTTCGTACAGGTAGCAGCTCTTAAAACATGACCTCCTCCCGTATTTTGTTGTCGTGAATAACGACATCCCTGAGGGGGTCATTTGACCTGTCCTTAAAGGCGATGGCAGAGGGTGGTTTAGGCCTTGTAAATAACCTCACACAGGTTACTAGCCCACTTTGTTCAAGTATAAAACGTGTCCCTAAAGGGAAAAGGGAAACCATGGTTTGCAAGACTTCCTTGCCTGGAGCCAATTTGTGTGTGTGCCTCTTTACAAGCTTGGCTCAGTTTCCGCTGCATGTGTGTGCATTAGGCACTTGACTGGGGTGAACACTCACTGAAGGCTTTTGAGCTAAACTTGAGGCCGACAGGAATGCTTAGTGGGTTCACCCTACTGCCCTCCTCTCTCAATAATAATAATAATAATAATAATAATAATAATAATAATAATAATTTATTGTTTATACCCCGCCCATCTGACTGGGCTTCCCCAGCCACTCTGGGCAGCTTCCAACAAAATATTAAAATACAGTAATCCATGGTTCTTCAGGAGTCACCTTGTCCCTTCTCTGCCCTTGATTTCAGCCCCGTGATGAACAAATTCTTCCCGGTCAATTTTCCCAACAAGCAGTACCAGCTTCTCTTCACTCAGGGCTCTGGGGAAAGTAAAGAAGGTAAGTCCCTCTCTGCCAGCCAGCTCGAACTCCCACCCGAAGCATTTCCTGTGCAAATCCTACATTTCTCCTGGCTTGCCTGTTCTTCCTGATTTCCCCCAACTTGAAGGCCATCAGTAGCCTTGCCTGCAGTTTTCTGCTTTGGCCAGTGGGCTCTCCCTGGAGTTTCTAATTCTTTCAATATGGCCAATATGCCGGGCAAGTGTCCTAGGCACCCTTGTCTTCCAGTCGTCACACCGCTGTTGCTGTTTCTATGCTGTTTCTATGCCCACACAGGCAGCATACACCTGTGGAATGATGTGCTTTAAATAATTAAAAAAATCAAAACAAAGATAAAAGAACTACATACAGTCAGAGAATCAGTTGAATATCTAAAACCTCTCTTAAGTGGGTCTTTCTGCTTGCAGAGCATATGGCCTATCCCCTAACCCATAGTTGCATTATTTGCAAGATCTACCATTTCCATTCACTGGATTTTGGAGAGTGGGGCTGGGTAAGATCTCTCTCTCTCTCTCTCTCTCTCTCTCTCTCTCTCTGCCTGCAAACCTTCAACAGTCTAGGTGGGTCAGCGGTCTGTCTTAAGTCAGCTTTGTGAGCTCATAATCTAGGTGCGGAAACAAGCGTCGCTTCTCTTACTTAGCTCTCTGCCAGGGTTCCTGGGTGCTGCCTATCCCTTACTCTTGCTTTGTATTAAAAGAGGCTGATAGAGGTGAAAACGACGTGGTGGCTTTTGTTGCAGAGATTGTCAACTACGAGTTCGACACCAAGGACCTCGTGTGCCTGGCCATGAGCAGCATCGTTGGAGTCTGGTACCTGTTGAGAAAGGTACGCCCAGCACCTGGCAAAGCCTGGGCACCACTTTCCTGTTTGCCTGAAATTCTGGGCGTGCCTGGGGGGGTGGGGAGGCAAGGGGGTGAGCTGTGCTGGTGCTGTTTTTATTGTAATTATCTCTATGTTTTTAATAGATAGGGGAGAGGGAGGGGAGAGATTTAACCCTGGCAGTGTTTAATTGCTTTTAATGATGGTTTCCTCCTGCTGTTTTTACCTTTTTTATTTTTATCTGTAAGCCGCCTTGAGTGCCTGTCAGGGGATAAGGCGGGCCATAAATAAATTAATAATAATAGTAATTTTAGTAATTACAGTGGTACCTCGGGTTATATATGCTTCAGGTTACACACTCCACTAACCCAGAAATAGTGCTTCAGGTTAAGAACTTTGCTTCAGGATAAGAACAGAAATTGTGCTCCGGTGGTGCAGCGGCAGCAGGAGGCCCCATTAGCTAAAGTGGTGCTTCAGGTTAAGAACAGTTTCAGGTTAAGAACAGACCTCTGGAATGAATTAAGTACTTAACCCGAGGTACCACTGTATAACGATTAATAAAATATATAATATAGAAATATATATAATATTTATATTTATAATATACAGTCATACCTCGGGTTAAATATGCTTCAGGTTGAGCGTTTTCGGGTTGCGCTCTGCGGCGACCCGGAAGTAACGGAATGCGTTACTTCCGGGTTTCGCCGCATGCGCAGACGCTCAAAATGACGTCAAGCGCAGAAGTGGTGATCACAGCACGCGCAGACGCGGGTTGCGTTCTCTTCAGGATGCGAACGGGGCTCTGGAATGGATCCCGTTCGCATCCAGAGGTACCACTGTATGTATAAATTAATAATAATAATAATAATAATAATAATAATAATAATAATATGCTGGGTGCTGACCTTCTCTGCCCTTCTCCCAGCATTGGATTGCCAACAACCTCTTTGGCCTGGCCTTCTCTCTCAACGGGGTGGAGCTGCTGCATTTGAACAATGTCAGCACCGGCTGCATCCTACTCGGGGGCTCTTCGTCTACGATGTCTTCTGGGTAAGCAAGTGCTGGTTTCTCAGGGTTTCTCTAAATACTTTATTTCTGTTGTTGTTGTTTAGTCGTGTCCGACTCTTCGTGACCCCATGGACCAGAGCACGCCAGGCACTCCTGTCTTCCACTGCCTCCCGCAGTTTAGTAGCTTTGAGAACACTATCCCACCATCTCGTCCTCTGTCGTCCCCTTCTCCTTGTGCCCTCCATCTTTCCCAACATCAGGGTCTTTTCCAGGGAGTCTTCTCTTCTCATGAGGTGGCCAAAGTCTTGGAGCCTCAGCTTCAGGATCTGTCCTTCCAGTGAGCGTTCAGGGCTGATTTCCTTCAGAATGGAGAGGTTTGATCTTCTTGCAGTCCATGGGACTCTCAAGAGTCTCCTCCAGCACCAGAATTCAAAAGCATCAATTCTTCAGCCATCAGCCTTCTTTATGTTCCAGCTCTCACTTCCATACAACACTACTGGGAAAACCATAGCTTTAACTAGACGGACCTTTGTTGGGCAAGGTGCATTTATATCCCACTTTCCCCCCAAAGAGCTTGAGGTGTGGTGTTCATAGTCCCCCCCCCCCCGTTTTATCTTCAAACAACCCTGTGAGGTAGGGTAGGCTGGGAGGTGGTGACCGGACCCCGGGGTCACCTGCTGGGCTTCATGGCCAAGTGGGGATTGGAACCCTGGTCCCTGTCAAACCATTACACCACACTGGCTCCTCCTTGGGGATCTATGGCAGAGTGAGTTCATGCCACTGTGTGGCTTCTTACATTCTTGTGTTACCAGCTGTGTCTTACTTATTTATCACATTCATATTCATATTCAGCCTTTTCCTCCAAGGAGATCAAGGTGGCACACATGGCTCTCCCCCTCCTTTAAACCCTACAACAATCTTGCGAGTTAGGCCAGGTCGAGAGGCGGTGACTGCTCCGGGGCTGCACCCAATGAGCTTCATAGCCAAGTGGGGATTTGAACCCTGGTCTCTGCCAAGCCCTGTAATGTTGCTGTGCACCATAAAATACTGTGTACAGCAATATCAAAATAATATTTTGAAAAATGTTAAAATCAGTAAAGCACAGTCATTAAAGTAACCGGCTGCTCAACCCTACACAATTGCCTAGGCCTTTCAGCATGGAAAAGTCTTCAAGAGATGCCTGAAAGTTAACGGAGAGGATTCCTTATGAATCTTCTGACAGTTATTCTCCTAAGGCAGTGTTTCCCAACCGGTGTTCCGCGGCACACTAGTGTGCCGCGAGACGTTGCCTGGTGTGCCGCGGGAAAAATTAAAAAATTCGAAAGATATCTGGAGAGGCGGCCTTCAGGCGAGTTTTAATTTTAATTTTCCTTCTCCCACTTAATGCCCCACGCTCGCCCGAGCAGCTTGCAGTCCTCGGTAACCACGGCGACCCGAGGGAGGGGAGGGAACAGGGAAGTCGAGGGCGGCGGCGAGCCGCGATGACGTCAGTGGGCCGCGCCGCCTCGCCCTGGCACGGTGTGAGAGCCCCGGCTAGTGGCGCGAGCTTCAGAATAAGTGGGATCCGCGTGCGCGAGACCGAGATCGCGGGTAAGGAGCTCAGCCCTGGGCAGGAGGAAGCGGGGCCGCGCGTGCGGGCCACATCCCCACAGAGAGCGAGCCTCCCCCGGCCCACCACTCCGGGCAGGTCCACTCGCATGAGGGGGCGGCGATGGCGACGGCCGGCAGCTTGCCTGCAATGCCATCCCTCGAGCAGGCGAGGAGCCCGGAGGCTACCAGATGCGAGTCCTCTTTCCCACCCTGCTCGGGAGTCCAGAGCACTTGGTCGCATTCAGGATCTAGAGTGGGGAAGCGGTGCTTGTGTCTGGGCTGGACACATTGGGCTGCCTGTGCCGCTCGACCTGCGGGGAGAAATCAGGGTGGGAGTCACGACCGTGAGGCAGGGCTGCCAAGTGTGGCAGAAGAGGACACGGCCGTCGCACCTGTCCTTAGGTAGGAGCTTCTTCCGTGTCGACCTGCTGCCCTAAAGTCTTGGCTTTTTTCTTGGCTTTTTGGCGGTTGGCACAGAAGGAAGGCAAGGGGGAGGGGAAAAAATTGAAACTTACACTTTCGTGCGTCCCTCCCGGCGTGACGCTGCGCGCTGACGTCACGGGGCTGTAATGGTGGTGTGCCTCGAGATTTTTTTCATGAAACAAGTGTGCCTTTGCCCAAAAAAGGTTGGGAAACACTGTCCTAAGGAAGGCCTGGTCCCTGTCGGGTGGCTGCCGTGGTGTGAATGCTTAAGCTGCAGTCATCATCCTTCTCACCGTTCTTCTCTCCTCTCTAGGTCTTTGGCACCAACGTTATGGTGACGGTCGCAAAGTCCTTTGAGGCGCCCATAAAATGTGAGTACCTGGTTTTGGCGGCAGGAGCAGTGGGCATGAGTGGTGGCTAACTGAGCCATGCTGCAGCTTGAGCAACAGAGAAAGCCTTTCTTGTAGAGCAGGGTATGCGAAACCTCCATCCCGTGGGGCTAATTTAAGGTTACCAGATTTTTTTTCAATGAATCCGGGGACACTTTAAATAAATACTACATGTTCGGGACGTTGGTGCTGCAGCGATGGCGGTGGCAGAGGGGCAGCCACCACCTTGACCTCAACCGCCATGTTTCCCCTTCCTCCAGAGCTTCTATCTCCTTTCTCCATGAGCCTGGGCAGCCCCTGAGGTGTTGGTTCTTCGGTGGTGGGGAAGCAGTGTGCGGTGGGTCAGGCATGGAAGGTGGAGAAGGAGGACCGGGTGGCGGTGGCAAGGTTCTGGCAGTGCGATGCCTCCCTTCCCATCAGAGCAGCCTGTAATGGTTCTAGGGGTTGCTTGTGCGTAAGCCAGTGCAAACACCTGGCTGGGTTGCCTGAGTGAACCTTTTCTGTCCGGACAGCCACACTCTCTTGGCTGTCTCAATCGCTGGCAGAATCCGTCAGTGGGCGTTTCTTAAACTTCTTCCAGCAAAGAAGCTCTTTGACGCCTAGTCTCCTCCTACTCTCTCTGCGCGAAAGCCTTCTGCGCAAGGAGGGCGTAGGCAGCGGAGGACCTCTACTCTCCCCGCTGGTCCCTGGCAAGGAGTCATGGGACTGCCTCGCCGCTTCCCCCATCTGCCCCCCTTCTCCACTGGTGCTACGCTGATTCTCTTCCCCAGAAGATGGGCTGCCTCTCCCGGGATGCTCTCTGGAATCCCTCTGGATTTTGCTCTCTCCCTCCGGCACTGATGGCAGTTCCCTGACACAGCCCCAATCCCATTCCTACTTGCATGCAAGCAGGAGGAGGCAGGGGTCCCTCAGCTGGGAAGGGAGGCTTCCTGTTGCGTAACTGAGAGATCCCTGCCCCCTCCTGCTTGCACACAAGCTCTGATAGGCAGCGTGAAGCCTCCCTTCCCAGCTGAGATCTCCCCGCCCCGCTCCTGCTTGCACGCAAGTAGGAGTTGGGAGGCTGCTCCGATAGGCAGCATGAAGCCTCCCTCCACAGCTTAGTTGCTGGGGTCAGGGAAGGTGGAGACAGCCCGGAAGCTGCATCTTAGAGCCCCTGCACCACCATCCGATGGGGACTTCCAAGCAGCTCCTGAAATCAGCCAGAGCCAACTGCTCCGGGCTGCTGAGACTGCCGCTGCTGCGTTTCCCGGGGACATTAGATGAAATCCGGGGACATTCCGGGGATGGAATTTGTCCAGGGACTTATTCGCAAATCCGGGGACTGCACCCAGGAAACGGGGACACCTGGTAACCCTAGGCTAATTCAACCCAACAGAGGTCCTGAACTGACCTGTGATGCCAGTTCCCTCAAAACCACTCCTTCCTGCCCCAACCCCAACCTCAGGTGTGAGGCAGGTAAAGGCTCACTGCTGTGGCTTTGGAGTTGGTTCACTTTGGTGTCAGGTGACTGCTGGGCAGCCCCACCCACCTGTCAAAAGTTTGGCGGTGGGATCTGGTCCACCCCTACACTGAGCAATATTAGCCCAGCGAGGAAAGATAGAGCTCATTCCTTGGCCTGTCGCTCTAGGGCCGCTGTCTGTTTTGGGTGCTCACGATCCCATCGTACCCAACCTTACAAATAATAATAATAAAAAATTTTATTTATACCCCGCCCTCCCCAGCCAGGACTGGGCTCAGGGCAGCTAACATCAAAGTATGATGCATTAAAAACATAAACAATTGATTAAAATACATCTTAAAATCAAATTTAGAGCAGAGTAAAATCAGACAGCAACCCATGGATTATAACTATAGAGGATGGGAGCATTGAGTGCTCACCAGGCCCAACTGTTTGTGCTGATCTTATATGAGCTGCTGGAAAGGGTTAGGGAGGCCACTTACATACTGGGTGTTATAACAAAAAAAGAGGGGGTGCGTCAGACTGGGCCCTGACCAAAGGCCTGTCGGAACAGCTCCGTCTTGCAGGCCCTGCAGAAAGATGTCAAATCCTGCAGGGCCCTGAAAAGGCCGAAAAGGCCCTGGCTCTGGTCGAGGCCAGTCTAACCTCCTTGAGGCCCGGGACCTCCAAGGTGTTATTGTTTGTGGACTGTAAGGTCCTCTGCAGGGCATACCAGGAGAGGTGGTCCCGTAAGTACGTGGGTCCTAGGCCGCATAGGGTTTTAAAGGTTAAAACCAACACCTTCAACCTGACCCTGTAATCCACCAGGAGCCAGTGCAGCTGGTATAGCACTGGATGGATATGATCCTGTGGCGAGAGCCCCGTAAGGTGCCTTGCCACAGCATTCTGCACCTGCTGAAGTTTCTGGGTCAGTTCCAAGGGCAGCCCCGCATAGAGCGAGTTACAATAATCGAGCCTGGAGGTGACCGTCACATGGATCACTGTAGCAAGAATATACAGTGGTGCCCTGCAAGACGAATGCCTCGCAAGACGGAAAACCCGCTAGATGAAAGGGTTTTCCGTTTTGGAGGTGCTTCGCAAGACGAATTTCCCTATGGGCTTGCTTCGCAAGACGAAAATGCCTTGTGAGTCTTGCCTTTTCCCCCCCGCTCCCCCTTTTTTCTAAGCAGCTAAGCCGCTAATAGCCTTTTAGCTGCTCAGCCGCTAAGCCTTTAATAGCCGCTAAACCGCTAATAGCGCTAAGCCGCTTAGCCGCTAATGGGGTTGCTTCGCAAGATGAAAAAACCGCTAGACGAAGAGAATCGCGGAACGGATTCTTTTCGTCTTGCGAGGCACCACTGTACTGCACAAGGGTGGCTGTTGAGAGGGGTGAGGCATATTTAGCCAGTCCTGCACCAACTCTGCTGAACGTTTCCAGGCCAAAGTGCTGGATTTAACCTTCCGAGACTGGATGCAACATGCTCTGAGCACCTCTCTCTCCCTACTGCCAGCTTGGACTGCCTGGTATTTGCCATACTTGGGGTGCGTTTGTTGATGGGAGATTAGAAGCAGCAGGGCCACGCAGAGAGAGCAGAGAATTGGTCCTCTTCCCCTTCCTCTCTCTTAGCATCTGCGAAAAGTGCAAGATCCATCTGATGAAGCTTTGTTGTGAGGAAGTTTGGGCAGAAAAGGTGCCTGTTTGGATCTCCTGTCAATCTGTGGTTTGCCTCACTTCTCCTCAACATGAATTAGTTTTAATAGTAATGTGTTGTGTGCGTTTTGTTTTGAAGCTGCCTCCTGCACCGGGAGAGCGTGTGTTTAAAGCAAACCTGCCGTAGCCTTTGAATGACAAACCTGGACTCTCTCTCTCTCTCTCCTGCCATGGGCTGAACCCCTCTTCTCCCCTCTTTCCTCTCTCCCAGTGGTTTTCCCCCAAGATCTTCTAGAGAGAGGCTTGGAGGCCGACAACTTTGCCATGCTGGGCCTGGGGGACATTGTCATCCCAGGTAAGGTGGTTGAGGAGTGTGTGACTATGTGACGGTTCTGTGCGATGGAACGGCCCCTCTGGCTCTCGCCTACTGCTCTTGCGGCTGGAAAGAAGGAGGCAGCTTCTGCACCCCTGGAGAAAGGGAAGGAGGCTTAGCAGAGAAATGGAGTCACCTGATCATCCCACGTTCCATAGCGCATGGGTGGGGAACTCTTTTTGGCCCAGGGCAGGGCGGGGGGCAGGCCATAGGCCAGTTCCCTGGAGGTGGGAGAGGATAATCCACCTGCCAATCACCTGGCCCTATTTTGACATCAGAAGATTGGCAGGTGAGTTATCCTGTCAAAAGTTTTCAATCCAGCCTCTGCTAAAACATGACCTTTTCCCCAGTTGCCTGTCATGCTGGCCACATGACCCAGAAGCTGCACGCCGGCTCCCTCGGCCAGTAAAGCGAGATGAGCGCCGCAACCCCAGAGTCGTTCGCGACTGGACCTAATGACCAGGGGTCCCTTTACCTTTACAAGAGGGGAGGGTGCTCTTGCGCTTGTATTCTACTTGAGGGTTTCCCTGCAGGCATCTGTTTGGCTGGAGTGTGGCATAGGATGTTGGAGTAGATGAGCCATGGACCTGATCCATTAGAGCTCTTCCTAAGAGCTGTATGACCTGTTGTCTATCCCTGCCAGAGGTCCCAGCGAGTCGCCTTGATATTGCTTTCAGCCACAAGGGGGTGCTGCGGCCTCACAGATCATATTAGGAGCAGGGAGTCTTGAGAAGGGCAGTGTGGCTGAGTGGGTGGGTGCCTGGCACAGCCTCCTCCCTGTAGCCCTAACCACGACTCTTCCGCTCTCTTCTCTTCTCCCAACCCGAACCAGGAATCTTCATTGCTTTGCTGCTGCGCTTTGACATCAGGTAAGCACCCTGGCCCCCTGGTGAATGTGGAAAAGACCACCACTGGCAATCCTGTATTGCTGAGTGATGCCCTTTTTGTGACAGTCTGCTCTTGGAAAACATTCCAGTTGGGAGCAAGAGCGGCTGTTGTTGGAGGGTACGGTGGGTTGGGGAACAAGGGCCCTGCAGGCTTTCTCTGGTCATGCCTTTGTGGCCTGATGGCATTTCTCTGCTTCTTTGAGACACTTTTCTCGCCTGTTCATGGCGTTGGGCGGGCTGTTAGGGAAGCTTTTCCTGCCCCTAGATCACCGTAACGCCCATTTCCTTCCCTGACAGCCTCAAGAGGAACACGCACACGTACTTCTACACCAGTTTCGTGGCTTATATTTTTGGGCTGGGCCTCACCATCTTCATCATGCACATCTTCAAACACGCCCAGGTGAGCTGCTTTTACCTGCGTCCAAAGGCCACCTACCTGCCTGCAACGGCCAGTTGCCTCTTCTGGGAAAGCAGGAAGTTCTTTGAATTGGAGATGGAATAGGGGAGGGGCAGGTGAGAAATGAAGAGTTTGGCACCGTTCCAGCAGCCCAGTAGCATCACGATAGCTAGATGTCCTGCTGGGACACGGCTGCTCCCTTGTAAAAGGTGCAGACCTCACGGTTTCTAAGCAAACAGCCCTGCACAGCAGCGAAGGCTTGCCTCTGGGCATCTCACCAGTGACCCAGCTGGCCAAAAAGAGAGACGGCTGCCCCAATCCTAGCTGGCTTGTTGGGTATTCTTTTTAAGAGGGCTCCTGGCTTTATAGGGTTCATGGAAGGTGACCCTCTTCTGGGTTGCATTGCCTGAGGTGGGAAGGCAAATGGCGATCTCCCTTCAGCCAAGAACCCTCTTCAGCGAGGCCAGTAGTGACGGAGGTTGATTCAAATCCTGGTTCCCTCAAAGAGCACTGCGTTGGAAAGTTCCCTGGTGCTAGCTGAGATCTGCTTCACAGAAACATAGAATTGCAGATTTGGAAGGGGCACCAAGGGTCATCTAGTCCAACCCCCTGCAATGCAGGAATCTCAGCCAAAGCATCCAGGACAGATGGCCATCCAGCCTCTGCTTAAAGACCTCCAGTGAAGGAGAGCCCACCACCTTTTGAGGTAGTCCGTTCCCTTGTGATACGGCTCCCACCATGTTTAGTCGGAAGCTTCACCCAGATCCGATTTACAGATAAGGCGAGTGTTTTGAGAAGAGCGGCTTGCCTCGCCCCAGAGGCCAGTGCTCTCCCATGGCCTGTTGCACCAGCGTGAGACCTGAGCTCTAGCTTCCTGGGTCAGACCAACCTGGGGCCTCTGGGTGAAGCTGGACTCCCACCAACCCAGCCAGGACTGGTGGGAATCGCTGTCCCAAGTACAGTGGTACCTCTAGTTGCAAACGGGATCCGTTCCGGAGGTCCGTTCGCAACCTGAACAGAATGCAACCCGCACCTGCGCGCGCACGGGGGTCGCGATTCGCCACTTCGCATGCACATGACGTCATTTTGCATGTCTGCGCATGCGCGAGCGGTGAAACCCGGAAGTAAGCTGTTCCGTTACTTCCGGATCGCCATGGGACACAACCTGAAAACGCTCAACCTGAAGGAAATGTAACATGAGGCATGACTTTATCTGGAGGAAGGGTTTCTTTAGGCCCAGCTCAGGGGTCTGCCTCTGACACTTATACCACTTGGTGCCTTTGGCTTGGCAACTCTGGCCCCACCTGCCCGGCAGGCCCACTGCAATCCCTGTGGTCAGTTTGCAATTCTGCCCTTGACCTTCCGACTTCCTTAGACTTGTGAGTGTGAATCGGTGAACAGACCTTCGGTGCGGCAAGCCTGGCCCTCCACACTAACGCTGTGCCCCTGTAGTTCCACTCTGTGCCCTATTTTGGCCCAGCCCGTCTCTGTCTCCCGAACCAGTTTCCAGCCCCCTCTCTCCCTTCTAACGCTTCCCACCCCCCTTGATTTCCCCTCTCAGCCTGCCCTGCTCTACCTGGTCCCGGCCTGCATCGGCTTCCCTCTCCTGGTGGCCTTGGTGAAGGGAGAAGTGGCAGAGATGTTCAGGTAAGAGATGCTTTGCGGCCACACGCCAGTTGCGATTCTGCCCGGGCAGATCCAGCCGGGTTGGGGGACTCTGCGGGGAATGGGGCACAGCTGAGTCAGCTCCTGTTTCCTTCCGACAGCCTTCAGAGTGTGAAGTAGGCCTCTGAAAGGAGGTAGTAGTAGTAGTAATAATAATAATAATAATAATAATAATAATAATAAAAATTATTTATACCCTGCCCTCCCCAGCCGAGACCGGGCTCAGGGCAGCTAACAACCAATAATAGAAACAAGTTGATTGAAATACAACTTAAAAAACAAGATTAAAACAAGGTACAGGTGGGGATGGGTCCAGCCAGCGTTTGGGTCGAGCCAGAAAGCTGAACGCCACCAGTGCCACACTGGAGAAGCTCTGTCCTCATCCCATCTGCTGGTTATCGGCGTTTTCATCTGCCATGAGTCAGTGAATTGGCCTTTGCCAGCCTTGTGCCCTCCGGGTCTTTTGGACTACAGTTCCTATCAGCCCCAGCCAGCATGACCGTTAAGCCCCATCAGCCCAGCCAGGTCATGGCCAGTGAGTGGCCCATCTAGTCCAGCATCGTCTTCTCACAGTGGCCAAGCAGATGCCCCAAAGGTGAAATCAAAGGGCGGTGGACCAAAATATCTGCTGCAGCATAAGCAACCCCATTCTCCTGTGCTCAGTAAAAGCATTTTGAGAGTGGCATGGATGCCAGGAGTGGCCAAGGCACCTGTGGTTTGTGATTCTTCTGGGCAGGAAGTGGGGGCTTGTGGCTCTGCCTGTCCCTCCTATATGGCGCTGCTCCTTGTTCCCCAGCTCAACAGAATGGGAGGAGGATAAAACCCCAAGGGGCAGGAAGCTGCAGCCTTGAGCTAATAGAAGAGCTGACAATAATACAGTGGTACCTCGCAAGACGAATGCCTCGCAAGACGGAAAACCCGCTAGACGAAAGGGTTTTTTGTTTTTTGAGCTGCTTCGCAAGACGATTTTCCCTATGGGCTTGCTTCGCAAGAGGGAAACGTCTTGCAAGTGTTTGTTTCCTTTTTCTTAACACCGTTAATACAGTTGCGACTTGACTTCGAGGAGCAACTCATAGAACGCAGTGTGGTAGCCTTTTTTGAGGTTTTTAAAGACTTTGGTGATTTTTGAAGCTTTTCCAAAACTTTTCCGACACCGTGCTTTGCAAGACGAAAAAAATCGCAAGGCGACAAAACTCGCGGAACGAATTAATTTCGTCTTGCGAGGCACCACTGTACCAATCTATTTCTCATCTGGCAACCAATGCGCCTCTTTGGTTTCAGATAGTTCATGACAAGTCTAAAAAGCCCAGGACACAAATTTTCACGGCCCTCTAGCAGCTATGGTGGCTCGTTTACCAGAAGTAATGTATTTAGCGTTAAAGTGTTTACTCGATTCTGACCAAACTAAGCCTCCTGGTGTGTATTTTGCTCCTCCGCAGTGAAGCCTGTTGTGCAGACACTGTCGGTGGGGTAGCAAAACTTGTCACTGACGCCTGAGTGCTGGGGAGGTTACAACAGAGAGCGCCTTGTTAGATCCAGCCGTGTTGAACTCCAGAGGAGTGCCTCTGAACATGTGCAGAAAATCCTCCCCCTTAAACTTCAGCTCGCTTTCAAACATGCTGGGTTCGGGGTAAGACGACAAGCCAAGAAACTTTCTCTGAGTCAGTTGTTCTCGCTTCTTCTTGGGCCGGAGCCACCTAGAATCAGGGTCCCTCTGTGATGGGCAGCCAGCCTCCCACAAATAAATACACAAATCCCTGGGTCTGCCGTGATTTAGGGGTGTCCCCCCCAAACAACTGGGGGGTGAGCAAGTGGGTCAGGCTCCCCATTTCCGCATCAGATTCACAAAGGGGTCCGAGTGCCTCTGGGGTCCCTGCGTGGCTGGCAGCGAAATCTGCAGGTGTGGAAAAGCAGTTGTGTGGTTCTGTGCCAGTCCTTAAGTTACTCTCCCCACCCCACCTCCTTGGAAGTGCTGTGGGGTTTGAAGGGGGGTGGGAAGGAAGAGGAACCGGTGATGAGAGTGATGAGCGGAAGGGCCCCCCACCCCAGGAATCCCGGCAGGTGTCGTGCAGCCCCCCTCGGCCCTCTTCCAGGTGGCTTTGATGAGCAGCCGGTTCCTGGGGGTGCTGACAGGTCTGATGCAGCATGGCAGCTGGCCTCGCACTCTCGGGGGGCACCCTGACCTTCACCCCGGGCAAGCTGTGAGGAGGGTACCTGCCCCCTCCAGTCCCCTGGGGGGGCCTTTCTTCTGATCAAGCCATTCCTGGAGGATTTCTTGTGTTCCGTTGTTGGGTTTTTTGCCTATGTCGCTTTGAATGAAAGGCCGGGGCGAGCGGGGAGGGTTTCAGTGGCAGGAATATGGGGTCCTGCCTGATATCTTGGCCTCAAGGGCCTCGATGAACTGATGGTGTTTATATCTGGGAGATCACCCACTAAGCCATTTATTTACTTTGTTTGATAGAATCTATATACCGCTGGATTGTTAAAACACACACGCCGTCAGAGCGGTTTACCAAAAGGAAAATCACCCAGAAGAAAAATTAGCAACAATAAGTTGCTCAAAGAGTTAAAACAGCAATAGGCTGAAAACAGATTAAAACCTGCATCAACTGTCTGAACAATTTACCATATTTTTTGCTGTATAAGATGCTCTTTTCCCCTCCTAAGAAGTAAGGGGAAATGTGTATGCGTCTTATGGAGCGAATGCAGGCTGCGCAGCTATCGCTGAAGCCAGAAGAGCAAGATCCCTCTTCTGGTTTCAGGGATGGCCACGCAAAGCCTCTTGAGTGCAGCCAGAGCGCTCCTGCCTATTCGCTCAAGAGGCTTTGCGTTGCTTTCTTGTTTCCCTCCTCTAAAAACTAGGTGCGTCTTATAGAGCGAAAAATACGGTAGCTCTGGCTGCTGGTCCCTGCCAGCTCCACGTGTCCGGGGCACAAGGGACACTTCAGGGCTGGCCTTTGCCTTTCGCCATCGGACAGAAAAACCCAAGCCAAAGTGTTTCTCAGAAGCGCAGGGCACATTTGTACATAGCGGCAGGTGGGCACAGAATTGCTTTCAACCTGTTTTCCCGTGAATTTTGAGCTTCCTTGAAGAGAGAAGTTTGGACGGGAATGAAAGTGTATCTGAGAAACAGGGCCCTGTGGTCACAAAGACCTGGACACCATCTCGTTGAGGGCTCAGAATACCTTTGCTTCGTGGCTCGGCTGCTTTCAGAGCAAGGCTGCCACGTCCCGCCTTTAGTCCTGGGCTCCTTGCCCTCGCCATTCTGACCTTTTCTCACCTGGGCAGCCGTGGAGCAGTGCCAGCTGCAAGGTTTGGAGGGCCCTCAGGCAAGACACTCTCCCCGCAACCCGGCCTCCTTCCCTGCATCTTCACCAGTTGAGCTTGGTCTCCTCATCTTCATCTTCCTCCTCCTCCTCGTCTCTCCCACTGCCTGGTTTGCTTCCCTCACAGGGAGCTCCTGAGCCAAGTAGGTTGCTGACATCTCCTTCCTTCCTTCCTTCCGTTCCTCCTTGTGTTTGGGACAGGGGGGTTACAACAGTAGGGGCAGAAAGGGCTCGTCCACCTGGCAAGGTAGCCCATCTAGGAGAAGGAAAACTGGTCCTCAACCTCTGCTGCATTGTGGGACGTCTAAAGGGGGAATAAAAGGCTAAGAAGCAAAGTGGAATTCCTAAGATGGCTGGTGGCGCCTTGTCTGCCGTTGGGGTGCTTCCAAGGGAACGGGGGCAATTTGCAGGCCCCCAGCTGGCTCCAGCCCACTGGCCGGTAGCCGGGTGATCTCCGGTCCTTGGCTCAGCATGAAACAGCGACCCAGAGCTTCAGAAGCCTTCAGAAGCTGGAGCTCGCTCTAATCAGCAGAGTAAATAACACTGGTCAAACAGAAGTGGCAGGAGACGGCTGTGAGGGCATATTTACAGGCAGTTTATTCAGCTTATATCAGGACAAAGGGAAAAACATGTCTTCTCCCTTCGTGTCCAAGAGCAAGCAGCAAAAGCAATAGCTATACACACAAACGGGAAGGTCCCAGCAAGCTGTGTTGGAGTGTAAACAGGCATGTGACATAACAACAATCCACACATCTGTTTTAAGGTGGAACGGAATATCAGTATCCTAACATCCTCTCCCTTTCCGTGTAACCTGTATCAGCTGCAACTCCTGCAGCCAAGCTGGGGCCAAATGTCTCGTTCTGCTTTCCTTTGGGCCGTATTAGCAAGACTGAGAGGGGGGCCTTGTCATCTGGGCAGCCCAGGACTTCCATCCACACTGCCCAGGCTTGCACCCTGGGGATTTGCCAACACAGTGGTTTGACTTCACCCCTGGAGGTGCACTCCATTGTCTGTCAGGACAGATGGATAGCAGCAACGGTGGTGGAAGAGTGGGGGGCTGGGGCTGTTCTGTTGGGTGGTTCTCCATCTGTCGCCCGGCCATGCTGGCCCTGGCAGTAGAGCCAGCTGAGGCGGGGGGAAAGCTGCGTCTCTGTGCCATCTCCCTCTTTGCAGCCGCTCTCCCTGCCGCCCTTCCTAAGCCTTTCCCTTTCTTTCTCTCTCTCTCTCTCCTCCTCTCTCTGCCCTGTCTGTGTCTCTCTCCCTGCAGCTACGAATCCTCCGCCGAAATCTTGCCCCATACCCCACGGCTCACCCATTTCCCTAGCGTCTCCGGGTCTCCGTCCAGCCTCGCTGACTCCATGCAGCAGACACTGTCCTGCTCCCACAGACGCCGGCAGCAAAACCCCAGCGCCATGTAGCTCTCTCAGGCCTGCCTGTGTAGCCAGGTAGGGGGAGATCCAAGATTTAGACCCCAGGGACGGGGGGGGGCAGAGGAGGGAGGGAGGGTCTTGGTACCTTGAGTTGTCAGCTTCTGCAAATGCATGCCCAGCAGGGACCCATAGGTCCTTTCTCCCCACTTCCTACACACCAAGAAGTGCACCCACAACCACCCCATAATGTGCTGGTTGCACCTAGGTCCTTTGTCTCCAGCCTGGTGCTCTCCAGGGGGGCTGGACTACAACTGCCTGTCAGCACAGTCATGCGGTACTAGGGCTTATGGGGGGCATGGCTGAACTTGCAGGGGCTGATGGGAATTGTAGTCCAAAAGAGCTGGCTGGTCCGCGGCTGGGGAAGAAGGGTCACGGGTTTAATGCCTGGCAGACAGGGCTGCAGAAAACCCTTCTGGGAATGCGGCAGAGCTGTTGCCAGTCAACATTATTTGGGGTTTTAAAAAAGTTATATACCGTAGATTCTGGCTTATTAGGTGACGGGGCGTATAAGACGAGCCCCCAAATTGGCAGCTGCCAATGGGGGGGGGGTCGACTTATACGCCCAGTCTTATACGCGGCAGCTTCGCTGGGCGGCTTCCTCCCGGTGCGGAGCAGACCCTGCAGCCCACTGCTGCTGCCCAGCGAACCCATACCCGGCGTATAAGACGACCCCTGACTTTTTAGAGGATTTTCCGGGGTTAAAAAGCCGTCTTATATGCCGGAATCTACGGTATATGGAGAGCAGATACATTGAAATGGACTGGAGTTATGATGTCAGTGGATCTGCTCTGAGTAGGACTAAAAGGTAAAGGTAAAGGTACCCCTGCCCGTACGGGCCAGTCTTGACAGACTCTAGGGTTGTGCGCCCATCTCACTCAAGAAGCCGGGGGGCAGCGCTGTCCGGAGACACTCCCGGGTCACGTGGCCAGCGTGACATCGCTGCTCTGGCGAGCCAGAGCCACACACGGAAACGCCGTTTACCTTCCCGCTAGTAAGCGGTCCCTATTTATCTACTTGCACCCGGGAGTGCTTTCGAACTGCTAGGTTGGCAGGCGCTAGGACCGAGCAACGGGAGCGCACCCCGCCGCGGGGATTCGAACCGCCGACCTTTCGATCGGCAAGCCCTAGGCGCTGAGGCTTTTACCCACAGCGCCACCCGCGTCCCTCTGAGTAGGACTAGCATTGGCTAAAGCCCCGAGCCCCAGATTTTTGCCCAAAAAACCGGCATGACGACCCAGCAGTGAAATGTGGAGTTGCCAAGGCACCTCTGCAGTAGAACTGTTTCCGCCAGGAGGTGGCGTGGAAATGCAGCTGGCCAAGGGCCAGATTGGGAGTGGGGAGCTGGGGCAGGAGACGCCTCAGAAGGAAGGGCCTTAGCTCTGTGGCTGAGCACCTGCTTTTGATGCAGAAGGTTGTAGGTTCGAGCCCCGAGGGCATCTTGCAGAAGGCCTGCCTGGAACCCTGGAGAGCTGCTGTCGGTCAGAGTTGGCACTCAGGAGCGTGAAGGACCAGTGGTTCCTATTGCCTGGCCAGTGGGCCTGCATTCTTCTCTCCCTTAGTTCCCGTGAGCCAAATTTAGTAGTTGGGGGGGGGCTGGACACCTGTAAACTTGTCTCCCTCCAGTAGCCTGGGAAAAGGTTGTGCTTAGGCTCCCAGTCCTGGAATCACAGAATCGTGGAGCTGGGCTCCCCAAAGGTCATCTAGTCCAACCCCCTGCAATCCTCGAGACGGAAGGTGGTGGAAGCGAAGCCACTTCCACCCATCTCCTCTCGGGTCCTCTTGCAACTGACTCTTTGCTCCGGCCGCTCTTCCTGGAGGTTGTTGCTGCGGCGGCAGCTTGCATGCCTCCCACAGCGAACTGCCCCGGGCACAACCCAGCAGGGAGTTTCTGCTGCTCCGGAGCTGCCTCACGCCCTTGCCCGGCCTTGTTGGCTCCAGCGTGGCTTGCACAGGAAAAATGGCACCCTCAGCCGTTGGCGCAGCCTGCTGTGGAGTTGGCACAGGGCTGCCTCCACCGTGACTTGCCCTTGTCCCACTTGGTGCAGCAGAATGAACACACCCACTCAGGCGCCGTTGATGCGTTGAGGGGGTTCCTTGGGTTTGCTTCCCCACTCTTGTCCCCTGTTTCCTGTCCCCCACCCCCATAACACAGAGCCAGGGAAGGCCGGGAGAATTCATTCTCTGCTTCAGGTACCCCATCCGTTCCCGGCTGCCGTTGTTTGAATATCTGCTTTGTTCATGGGCCTGATTTGCAAAACCTTGCCAGGGCCGTGCCTTATAGCTTAGAGGCCACGCTTCAACTGCAGGGAAGGGTGCAGAGCTGCGACCTCTCAGAGAGCCCAATGACCTAAGGCTTGGGGGGGGGGAATAGAAGGGCAGGGCTTTCCCTTCTCTGCTTGAAAAATATCATGTCACTGGGGAACTCTAATCCAACACCTCCCGCCGCCCCGGGAAAAAGGTCTGAATTCTGGGACAGTTCAAGCTCCTTAAACTCCTTTTGCCTTTTCTTGCAAGGCATGGGGTGGGGGGACAAAGGTATTGATTAATGGAGTCGTAGAATCGGAAGGAACCCCCAAAGGTCATCTAGCCCAGCCCCCTTGCAACGCAGGCATCACAGTTAGGTAGGTAGACCCAGTGGAGGTCGTCTCCTAGCACCCAGCTGCACTTCTCTGCAGAATCTGTAGCAGAAATCCTTGTAGCTTCTATATCTCTCTTCCGAGCCTTAAGGGCTAGAAACTTGGCAAATTGTTTTGGTTTCAGAAAAGGAAGAGGCATCTTTGGTTTGTGTGCTTGGGAACTTCCGCCCAATAATAATAATAATAATAAATTTTATTTATACACTGCCCTCCCCAGCCAAGACCGGGCTCAGGGCAGCCCGGTATAAAACACCCGATATAAAAGCAATTGATTGAAATACAACTTAAAAACAAGATTAAAATACAACATTAAAATACAGTCTCATTTCAGTGGAAACTCAAATCAACACTTTTGGGGGGATGAAAACGTCAAGTCTTCACCGAGGCTAACTATCCAGACTGGTCCTACATGGACCAGAAAAAAGCCAGGGAAGTCCCCAAATAGGAGTTCCATCACAGATGGAGAAAGGAAAGAGGGGAAGGGGATCAAGTTGATTCCAAGCCAAAGGCCAGGCGGAACAACTCTGTCTTACAGGCCCTGCAGAAAGAAATCAGATCCTGCAGGGCCCTGGTCTCATGAGACAGAGCGTTCCACCAGGCCGGGGCCAGTGTTGAAAAGGCCCTGGCCCTGGTTGAGGCTAATCTGACTTCCTTAGGGCCCGGGACCTCTAGGGTGTGGCTATTTATGCACCTTGAGGCTCTCCGTGGGGCATACCAGGAGAGGCGGTCCCGTAGCTACGAGGGTCCTAGGCCCTTGCCCCAACTCTGTGTGCAGTTTTTGTCTCCCTGGGCAGAGCTGATCTTCCAGCTGGATCTTGTGCCTACCTTGCCAAGAAGGCGGCTGCCCGACCTGCTGTGAGCCCGACTTCACCCTCTCCCTCCCTCTTTCTCGTCTCTCCCCAGCTACGAGGAGAACTCTGCCCCCAAGGAGGTGCCCCCGGGAGATGCCAAAGAAGGGAAGAAGGAGAAATGACCTTGGGACGCTCAGCCGGGCTGGGCTCCGTCTGCTGGCCGCCCGCCCTCCCCGCCTCCCCATCGCAAGTGAATTTCGTTTTTTAAAAAGGCAACTGGATCGTGTAACAGCCATGTGTGTTTGTACGTGTGCATCTGTCCGAAGACTGGCGGGGCAGGGGGTGGGTGGACAGCAGGAGGAGCGCCCCAGTACATTGACCTCCTCTCTGCCTGCCTGCCTCCTTGCCTGCCCGCAGCTCCTCCTGTTCCCCCGGGGAGGAAGAGGACAGGGCAGGTGGGGGCAAGAAGGCAGCTTCACCCCTTCCGCCAACTGCCTTTTGACGCCCACTCCCCTGACCGCCGTTCATTGTCTTGGTGGGAAGAAGGAAATATGGGAGGGTGGGGTGGGAGGGGAGAGAAAGGGAGACTATGAGCTGATTTTTAAATTTTGTATTGTGGATTTGCTTCTTCTCATATTAAAATGAAACAAAACAAAAAAAAATTATTGAAGGACCAGGACGGACTCTGCAGTGTCTTTTTCACGAGGTCACCGAATCGGCTGAGACAGTGTGTTGAGCGAGTGGATGTTGACTCACGAATGATCTGAGCGGGATCTGCAGGATCTGCTGCAGCTGGCTGGCCCCAGAAGTGGAGGCACATGGCTTTCCTTTTGGAAGTCCATGTCGGGGAACTCCACAATGGGGCACTGTTAAACTATGGAACTCTCTCCCACAGGAGACACAAAACTGTTGTTGTTTAGTCATTTAGTCATGTCCGACTCTTCTTGACCCCCTGGACCAGAGCACGCCAGGCACTCCTGCCTTCCACTGCCTCCCGCACTTTGGTCAAACTCATGCTGGTAGCTTCGAGAACACTGTCCCACCATCTCGTCCTCTGTCGTCCCCTTCCCCTTGTGCCCTCCATCTTTCCCAACATCAGGGTCTTTTCCAGGGAGTCTTCTCTTCTCATGAGGTGGCCAAAGGGTCATCCAGACCAATATATCTAAACTTGAGTTTTATCCCCGCGTTACTTAAATGTGCTTTTTTGGCACACAGCTGTTCTTCCCTGTGTTACCAGCAGGGGGAGTTGCTTAACTTCATGGCCTTGAGAATTATTCAGCCAGCTGCTGCATTGACTGGTCAGTAAGTCATCCTGAGTAAAGATAAATCAGCTGTCAGTTTGAAGGAACTTAAATTGCAATTAAATAAAAATAAAAATCAGAGCTGGGCACGGTGGATGCATCAGCCACTGGCTGCATGGTGCCCAGTTCCAAAACGGGGTTTGAGTCTCTTGTATCTATGCAAGGTTATTTGATTGATTGATTGATTGATTGATTGATTGAATTTATATACCATCCTATACCTGGAGGTATAGGTGCCGCTGTGGTCTAAACCACAGAGCCCAGGGCTTGCCAATTAGAAGGTCAGCAGTTCGAATCCCCGCAACGGGGTGAGCTCCTGTTCCTCAGTCCCAGCTCCTGCCAACCTAGCAGTTCGAAAGCACGTCAAAGTGCGAGTAGATAAATAGGTACCGCTCCAGCGGGAAGGTAAATGGCGTTTCCGTGCACTGCTCTGGTCCGCTAGAAGCGGCTTAGTCCTGCTGGCCACATGACCCAGAAACTGTATGCCGGCTCCCTCGGCCAATAAGCAAGATGAGCGCCGCAACCCCAGAGTCGGCCGTGACTGGACCTAATGGTCAGGGGTCCCTTTACCTTTATACCCAGAAGTCTCAGGGTGGTTCACAGAAAAGATCACGATATATAAAATAAAAACAGGGTTACTCTCGTGGGACTTTCAGTGCCTGGACATTCCTTCCATAGACAAAGAATAAAAAATATAAACCACAAAGCATTACAGCCAGAAGGGACGAATGCAGAGAGATATAACATAGCTCCAAAGGGATAATAAAGTATTAACTCATCCAAATATTCCCTTTACAAAATAATGAAGATGTATGAAAATAGAGATATTCACCACCTGTGAGCTGCTTCATTACTGAGAGTAAATGTTCTATATAGTGTTAAATGAGATAGACATTTGCAAAGGTGGGTGGCGCCAAGTAACCACGAGCCTCAATATTTGCATAAGAAATAAAAATTCACGCCTTATTGGGGGGAGGAGAGAAACTTCCTTCGAGCGCGGCCCTTCAGAGACTTTTCGTTCAGGAGGTATCTTTTCAAGAAGGGCAACTTGCCAAACCCTTGAATACCAAGATATCCAAATGGTTGAGATGAAAGGATTTGGCAGTATAGCCCCGGGCTGCTCTTAAGGGATGAGAAACAAAGTCTTTACCTTTCAGATCCTGTTCTGTTCTCATACACAGGTTCATCAAAAGTGCCAGGTGGGGAAATGGGTACAGCTTGTGCCCTCGTGTGCCTCTTGCTCATGCTGTGCTTTTGGCCAGGAGATGCCGCAGGACTATTCCCAGAGCAAACGGTGGTGGCAAATGCCAAACTGAAGAACAAACTGCCCTGGACCAGCCGGTAGGGTTGCATGAGAACACAGGTGGAAGTTTGGCTCCAAGCAGGTATTGCCAGAAGCATTTCTCCTTGGAGGATGTGAGCCTGCAAAATTGCAAGTTGAGCAAAACGGTGGCCCGTCCATCTGGCAAATTGCTGCCCATGATGATGATAAATACCGTATTTTTTGCACCATAACACTCACTTTTTCCTCCTAGAAAGTAAGGGGAAATGTCTGTGCGTGTTATGGAGTGAATGCCTACGGATGGCGGGGGGGGGGGTCTGCTGCAGTCGTGAGCAGAGGGTCCATGGTTCCCCTTCCTTCCCTCCTCCGTGGCTAGCTTTGAAACAGCAAAGCGGGAGAAGAGCCGCTGAGTGGGGAGGAGAGAGGGACAGAGAGCCTGCTTGCTTTAAAGGAGCAAAGCGGGAGAGGAGAGGAGCCTTCTCCCCTTATACCCCTCTTCTTCATTATTAGCAGCATCCTTCTCCACCCACCCCACGCGTGTTCCTTGTCCCTTGAGTGCTTTTCCTTCCCTCCCCACTTAAAACATGGTTACAAAGCACGGATCCACATGGATCCTCAGGATTTTTGCACTAGGTCACCCCAAATTCACCATCAGATCACATAGCATGTCCATGGCTACAGCTTGCACCCAAAACATCACGCACGCACTGTTGCCTGGGGCCGCAGTGGTGCATAAACATGGTTACAAAGCATGGATCCACATTGATCCTCAGGATTTTTGCATTGGGCTACCCCAAACTCACCGTCAGATCACATGTCTGTGGCCACAGCATGAACCACAAAAATCATACATCCACTGTTTCATTTAGAATATTTTCTTCCTTGTTTTCCTCCTCTAAAAACTATGTGCGTGTTATGGTAGGGTGCGTGTTATAGAACGAAAAATACGGTAATAGCCGGTGGTGGTTAGAGCATTGTAAGACACCTGGGAGAGACTTGGTCATGAAGCTCTCCTTGGATGGGCGTGGGCCAGTCACTGTCTCTCAGGGTTGTTGTGGAGTATGAACGAGGAGGGGAGTTTGGATTTGGATTTGATTTGATATCCCGCTTTATCACTACCTGAAGGAGTCTCAAAGCAGCTAACATTCTCCTTTCCCTTCCTCCCCCACAACAAACACTCTGTGAGGTGAGTGGGGCTGAGAGACTTCAGAGAAGTGTGACTGGCCCAAGGTCACCCAGCAGCTGCATGTGGAGGAGCAGGGAATCGAACACAGTTCACCAGATTACAAGTCTACTGCTCTTAACCACTACACCACACTGGCTCTCACTGGAGGAACAATGCGCACCACCTTGGAGAAACAAGTTTGGATATAAATGCAATACATAAATAATTTGTATTATAATTTGAGCAATCAGAGAACTTCATAGGCGCTCTTTTCCTGCAACCATTACAACAGCCTGCAAGGCAGATGAGTATGATTATTCCAGTGGTACCTCGGGTTACATACGCTTAAGGTTACATACGATTCAAGTTACAGACTCGGCTAACCCAGAAATAGTACCTTGGGTTAAGAACTTTGCTTCAGGATGAGAACAGAAATCGTGCTCCAGCGGCGTGGCAGCAGCAGGAGGCCCCATTAGCTAAAGTGGTGCTTCTGGTTAAGAACAGTTTCAGGTTAAGAACGGACCTCCGGAACGAATTGAGTACTTAACCCGAGGTACCATTGTATTTCCATATAGGATGCAAAAGTTGAGAGTGAGTGGTCAACTTAAGGCTATCTAGTAAATTCACAGCAGACCTGAGAATTAAACATAGTATCTGTAAGTTGCACAGCTCTGGCAAGCTGGCTGGATCAAGTCTGGCTCAGTGCACTGCCACCTCCTGCCTTCAGTGGAGAATACTTTTAAAGGCCTTTTTAAAAAATAAAAATAAATCACCTAGAGGTGAGAGCTTTTGCACTAGGCAAATATCCAGCCTCTAGCAGTTTGCAAAGAACTTCTGCTATAGTTTGACGCTGCGCCCAGGACTGCTCCCACAAACCAAAATGCTTGTTCCTCCCCCACTTTCTGTTTCTTTTAAATTTGAACATCTAATCTGCCAAAGCAGTGATTCCCATGTGGGTGGTACTGTCCTCTGGGGGGGATTCAATAGTAAGACACTAAGAAGCAAGGGGAGGGCACTGGAGGTGTAAATGACTTGCCAGGCTTTGAAACACTGTTCTCACTGGATCAAGTTCACCAATTTTGCCCAATTAATTCAACTAAATAGCTTTAGCTGGATTCAGAATAAACGTGCAGCTAATTGTTACCGTTTTGAATTTTATCGTGCTCTTCCTTAGTAGGTTATGCAACCTGCTATTCTGAATAATGCTTTTTAATGGGTTGGGGGGCACTGGGGATACATTTGTGGACCCAAGGGAGCAGGGGGCCTGAAAAGGTTCGGGAACCCCTATGCTAAGCAATGGTGTAGAATTCGAAAGCTGGGGTGTGCCCCGTGAAATTGGGTTGGCTTAAAGTGAGGAATTAAAGAACCTTTTAATGAGGGTGAAAGAGGAGAGCGCAAAATATGGTCTGAAGCTCAGTATAAAAAAAACTAAGATAATGGCCACTGGG